GATTTCCAGAACTTCTTTGGGAAATACCAACCCTTTAACACCCGAAAAAACTGACTTAAGCCCACCCCACCGGTGCCCTACACAAGCACGCACACAACGCGCGCGCACGTGCGCACATTCATGAAGAGACACTCCGAAGCGGGTGAATTAAACAAAACCCCACGTTTTAATGTATTTTTATGGTTTTAGTGATATTTTGACGCCTAGAGGTAGGCAACCTGCTTTAATCACTTTCGGCAAGTAATTTTCTAGTGCAGTTTACATGAGAGAATACATTGCCACCCCTTCGCGGTCGAAAAACCATGATGTAGGCGGTTTTTAAGCCATGCCCCTGCTGGGTATGCAACCTTCCGTAGAGCGGTCCCCACGCGGAGTAGGCTTGGGCACCACTTCTTAAAAGTGTCCTATGGGTATGTACTACATACCCTCCAAACGGTTTTTCTCTACGCTGAAGTGAAAGCTCAGGCCCTTTTTTGAGGCTTAACAAGCGTACTAGTAAGAGACCAGCCACGTTCTGCTTCCTGCTGGACTCTTTTACTTGCCTTCCAAAAATATTTCCGTGAAAGAGATATGAAGGAATATGTCTTTAACAAGTAGGTTATTTTGGAGCGGAAAACACAGTGACAACAGAGTTAAGTGAGTTAACTGGGGTGGAACTAGGTTTTAACTGTAGTTCAACTGTATTCCGACTCGGTCGGCCGTCGGGCTGGGACCCTTCGCATAACATCAAGTTACCGCATGGCTACTAGTATGGTGGCGCGGTGGCTCAGTGGTCAGCGTATCGGGTTCCCAGCTCCGAGGTTCGAGGTTCGAGTCGCGTGAACGTCCGCTTCAACTTCAACATTCGGTAAGGTACAAAGCTCTGAAATTACTATGTTAACAAGGGAGAAGGAGGAGAGGAGGAGGGAAGGAGGAGAAAAGTGTCCCAAAAGGAGGGGAAAATGAATTTTGAAATTATACATAGTATGCGTTCGAACACAACTTTGAAGTGAACATAGCTCTCCGACAAATTTATAGCTAAAGTAAAGTTGTACTGCGGTGAAAACTTCAGTCGGAACAG